AATATATATATATCCATCAGAGCCTCGCTGGCCGACGATTTTGGTGTACACAACAGACCTTCATGGCTACCACAGTGACTGAAGGAGAAAGCCGTACAACAATTCACCTTTTGGAGCAGTCCAGTACCTTGACCGTTATCCGCTCCTGCGACATGGACCGGATGATGGTTTTTACAGAGCGATTGATGCCGACGGTGGCCATCAATCCTTCCGCATGACATTTTTATCGGAGTGTCCGTCGTTGAGGCAGACCTGTCTTCTGATGTTTCAAAGGAGTTTTGCCTGTCGCGGTAACCACAACCGCCATGGCTAACCATTTTGAGGCTCAAGACACTCTTTCCCAACTACTTACTGTAGCATCTCAGAAGTGCTGACTCTCTTTCGCATTGCCCCATCTCCGCAACAGTGATACTGAAGATGGAGTTTGAAGAGACATCAAAGTAACCAAGATAAAATATTTCTGCCCGTAGCGCAACAAAGGTTGATTTTTGCTGCTTTTTTGTAGTAAATCATATCCGTCTCCGAAAACAGCTTCCAACGAAAAGGTGACGATCATCTCGGTGGACGGCGGCAACGGTAGCTACTGGAGCAAGGAATCGTTGCATTCCGGCATTAGTCGGGCGATGGCGAAGACCACTCAAGACCTTAGCTCGTCGACGGCTTCATCAAACCTACTCGACAACAGCGCGTCGATGCTAGGCACTCCTCTCCTGTACAAGGGTATGGTAACGCCCCCTACCGGTATGTCGAAGTACGTTACAATTTAATGTGTTGAAGCTTGTCATGTGATTTGTGTTCCAAGGGTGGCTACGGCGCTGAGCCGAAGTATCGGCAGTCTGGTGGTGCCATACCGGATTAGCAACAAGCTGCCTAACTATCAGACATATCAGGCGACGCGCGCTCAGCAGTTAGAGAAGATCCGCCGAGAGCTACCTCTTCCCGCGGCCGGCAACTTCGGTGCCGACGTGAAGCGCAATGCCAGTCTGACGGATCTTCAGTGTCAGAAGCCGGTATCTGTGAATAGTCCCGTTTTCCTGCACATTCCAAACTGCCAGGCAGATTACACTTATCGTTCAGTGGACATCGACTGCCAGGGCTCTTCTGCTCTGCCCAGGTAGATAAAGCCTTGAATTGGGTCCAGCCCCTAATGTTCTATATTGCATCGTCGGTTACAGGAAACAGCGCTACCATCCAAAAACTTTCAGTCGTTTGGTGACCACCTTCAACAACGACCTGTCAGTATCTCAGCGCGCCAGTAATGACAGCATTAAGGCGATGGTCAACGGTGGAGATGATGACGTCACCAAATGCGGTGGAGGTTTCGAAGAGTCATCAGAGGCCGCCACTGCCACAGCGGGGTTCAACTACGGCAATCACCGACACAATATGATCATCACTGTCAACCCACTGAGCGAGATGCGCATTAATCCGAAGATGGTCGATGCATACACGCAGTCTGTCGCCACACTGCCGCTGCGAACACGGCTGAACGAGTCGTCTGACAGAGCTACTTCCTCTGGCACCAATGTAATGAAGTTTTCGATTCTTCAGAACTAGATAACGACTCTTCTGGGAAGGGGTGATTTAAATCTCACAAAATGACCGACTAAATTATAATCGATATTAATGAATTATTAATTGGTCATTAAAATTACTGTAATATATCGTAATTTAAGTTCCCTGTTTTATATGTATTTTTTATTACTGTTTATTGTTCAGTATAAAATAAAATATATTCGATTATATGTTGCCCAAATTTTATCATCTCTTCGCACCGATACTGTATCATTTTGTATAATCTTTGGTAAATTTTTCCATTCGCAAGTTTTTTAGCCA